TACGTATAATTTTTGCTATAATTGTGTCAGTTGACTTTGATTTATGTGTAAGAAGCATTAAATTTGTATATATCACCATTTATTGGACTGCATTCACTGTTTCTGCCCAAGTTGGGGAATTAAATGCTTGCTCAAATACAGTCAACAAGCTACTAATATTATAGTTTGGCTTAATGAAAGGTCAGTTTGTTTTATGAATTAAATTGATATTTACTGTGGTGTAGGTGCGGCTGAAAATTTGTGTCAAAGTATACAGGCAACAAGTTGGAAAGATTTTCTTGAAAAAATATAAATGTGTATACCCTTGTCTGCACAGTTGCCCAGTATTGCCTTCTATGAACTATCTGACAGTCCAAAATGGGCATTAGCAGAGAAGTCTGACATTACAGTAATAGTGGTGTGTAAGTATCATGTAGTGATACTGTAATGTAGTGTTATAAGCCATGAAAGTAAGGTTGTGCTGTACCACAATTATCAAGAAACAACTTCAGGTTTACATTTGCACAAACATTCAATCCACAGAAATATTTGGATAGGGAAAATTTCTGCACACACCAACAAAGAAAAATTAGAGGGAACATTGCCTACTTGCCATTTTGGAGATGCTATGACCCAGGCTTGCATTCTTCTGGACATCAATCTCAGATGTCCCACCTGGAATCTGTTGAAGCCACTCCCCCAACTTGGGATTCACAGCCCCAAGTGCCTCCATCAGAACTGGGACTTCTACTGTCTTCACTTTTCACATCCTTTCTAGCTCTTATTTCAGTCCTTGGTATTTGTCCATCTTCTTAAGTTCCTTCTTCCTGATGTTATAGTCATTAGGTATTGCCTCATCCACCACAACTGTAGTCTTCTGTTCCTTGTCTACCATGACAATGGCAGGTTGGCCAGTATTTGCTTGTCTGTCTGGATCTGGAAGTCCCACATGATCTTAGCCTTTTCATTGTCAACTACCCTTTGTGGTATCTCCCATCTGGTCCAGCCCATATTCTGTTCAGTTGTTTTGGTACACAATCCTAGCAATTTGGTTGTGTCTCTCAGTATATGATGTTCCTGCTAACATTCTGCAACCAACCACTATGTGCTGAGTTGTTGCAGAGGCCTCTCTGCACAGTCTGCACCTTGGGTCTTCCTTGGTGTGGTAGACCCCCACTTCTCCTTGTCTGCATCCTTTAACTGTTGTTGTTTTAGGCATTCCCTTAGTAGTTCACTTTTGGAAACCATCTTGATGATGTACTAGTGGATGCTCTGTATTTCATCCAGGACTGTGGCCTTGACATTTATCAGGCCCTGACTTACTTACTTCTGGCTCTTTTCTGGGTGCTGGATTTTAAGTGAAATCCAACATTCATAATGAATAGTTTCCTTGGTCTTAACATTCATGGTGACCAGTTCTTCTCTTGGTCATATTATTTGCGGGTACCTGTTGACTGGTGTAGCGGAGCACTAATTTAACATAGACTTTTCTCCGCTGGTATTCCAATAGTTACTCAGGATCAAGAAGGTTATTATAAGAAGAACAGCATAAGCAATAAATAAAGTAATTCACGAATATCCCATCACCTTTCCCAATAACTGGACGACACTCAGTATCAGGAGCAGAACTGACTTTTAATGGCACACACTCTGCTTTTATGCAATCCTCCCATGCAAGGAAGATACCCACAGAAAATTAGGAGTTATCCAATCCCTAGCTGGTTACAGTACACCGGTTTCCTCCCCTTAGCCTGAGAGGTAACTTAATTATCTATACAGTTTCAACACACATTTTTGCCCAATTCCTGGATGTACCCCAAAACTATAACTTACACCCGTAAATTACATATCCCTGATAGCCCTGGGTGAGCAACATACAGAAAAATCACCCAGTTCGGTTCAGGGGTTCGTGAATTTCCTGGAGGTCTTTGTTTTACCGATGAGGTAAAAAGCACGAAATTGTTTAATGTACTGGGCTCTGCCTGGGTTTGGATAATTCTCCTCGTTCGTATGATTCCTTTCACCGAACGCCGTTCTGTTCGTATGTTTCACCACGAACGTGTGGAAGTATGGAGGTCTCTGCGGTGTTCGCATGGCCGAGTGTTTGATACGGGTTCCAGACACTTGACGACCAAACACCGCTGGTGCGTTCATGGGGAAAGATGGCCGCCGCAACGTGTTTGTATGCCGAACAGCGGCCACCCAGGGAATACACAGTGTGTTCGTATTATTGTCAATTGAGGTAATGTGAAGAACGAAAGGGGAGGTCAATCAGTGCCACGCTCCACTCTGGGGTGGCCTGGTTGTTCGGTATTTTGTTGGTTTGTTGAATGGTACCACTTCAGATGGTTCAAAGTAGATTTTTACCGAACAACCAGACTAATGACACAACAGATAGGGGGTTACTTGGTTCTTTTACCAGTGAATTGAACCATGGAGATTAGAGTAAAATACTTCAACAATTAGGGGTAGGGACAGCCAACAATACAATGATGAGTAGCAACACACCGTCCGCTACAACTGGCCTCTTCTTCATGGTTGCCATGCGTTTGTGGTACCCCCAGGTACACATCACCTATGTTTTCTACATTACCTATTTGATCTTTTGTACTTCTGTCCTGATCCTCTTACCTTTTTTTGCTATCATACGCCTACATTTATCTAGTCCAAATGACATTTTGATGTCCTTGCTGTGTTTGGTTATATTGTATTAATATATCGACTTGTTAGCACAATTGTAAAGTGTCTGTCTTCCTTAAAACGATATATGCCTACCGCAATAATATGAGAGTAACACAAACCAAGAAAGTCATGCCAGCTCAGACATTGCCTGGATTAACAACGTCCATGTCAGATGCTAGGGAATCAGGGCAACAAACCATTCCTGGACACGAAGTGAGAACCTAGACCTGCTTGAATCCTACTACAAAGCAGACCCAATATGAGGGGCTACATTAAAAGTATGTAAGAACTATGGATGAATAAGGGACCTTTATCTTCCCTAACACCAAAACAGCTGGTTACACAATGTTTGAACATCATCAAGAGAAGCTAGTGTCAGAACTGGAATTAGAGGAACAACATAAAACATCAACATGAACCATGAGGAGGCAGAAATTCCTATACCCACACCCATACTTGCAAAGTGTTGCCAACCTGAATTCCTGCCCAAAGATGGGATTACAACAGACATACAAATGTTGATCATTGTCCTTGACCAGCAAATACCAAAGATCACTGGTAAACAGCCTCCAGACACTATGCTAATTAATGAGACACTGTCCTCTATTCCAGCCCGTACCATGATAGAGACCAACAGGCTTATATATGCCACAGCATTAGTGGTCCTCTAGATGCCTGACTACAAGATTAGGCTTAAAGAGAAGCAACGACCACCATGGAGACTATGACTAAAAGCCAAGATAAAGACAGAATGTAATGAAGTTAGAAAGCAAAATATCATGGATAGATCCTGGCTACTAACAGATATATGGGGAATTAGCTGAACCTATGACAAAATGGAACATAACATAGCCAAAGTTGGGGGTTGCAGCCAACCGCGCGGCATGGGCGCGTTTTGAAGCAGCTCCGGCTAAACAGTGCGGGAATCCACTACCATTGCACCATTACACATGCCCAACGATTCAAGTATACTAGTCTAAAATAGCCAAAATGATCCACCTAGTGACCAGAATCAGGATGCCTATTACATCAGAAACACTACTTTTCTTCCACCATCCTCAGTCAGCACACGACTACCAAGCACCCGGTAGGAAAATCGGAGCGCCCTTACGAAAGGCGGGCCCAAACATAGCCCCGGAAACGAGTTCACACACTTGCAGATTACAAAGACCTCTTGGTTTCACAAGTACAATACTTGCAATAAACAGTGGACTCCCACGCCTCAAACCTATCCACCATGTATAGAATGATGGACAACCGAGGATGTAGAAATAATCTACGGATTAAGGGGCTACCAGAACAAGACCAGGAGGACCTGACAGACCTGTTCAACCACATACTAAGCAGGCCAGTGGACACTCCTATAGTAATGCAAAGAGATCAACCACGCAACATTACTTTACTCTTAAAGAGGACATCCTCAGATTGTTCAGACAAACCTATACCACAATGAACCCATACAGATTTTCCCAGACCTATCCTGGCATACATTAGAAGCCAGGCGCATGCTCTGACCAATCACAGACATGCTCTGATCCAGGAATATTCGGTATAGATGGGGTTTCCCCTTGACGCTTATTGCCAAACTCACTCACTGACATCAGCACAAGATGTCAGACTTTTCACCCAAGCTATGGAACTTCCAGATGTGCAAGTCGCCGATTGGTATGGAATGAACCCAACCGCTATGCCCACACAACCTCCACAGAGACAGAGACCTCAGCTAAGAAATGACCCTCCAGGGGTGCCAACTAACCTAGAGGTCCAACCGGAGGACGATAAAGCATCATCACACCCATTGGTCAGGTACTACCTGCTCCACTCCATCCAAGATGGGAAATGACGTTGAACTCTCAATAATGTGGAATGTCTGTGTTTTAGCTCAGTATTGAATGCCGCTAATGCCATTCCTCTGCCTGACACTACTATATCCCCCTAAGGGTACGCTACTTTGGGATGTCCGGTTGTTAGGCTCCTCTCTCCCTTCAGCGATGCTTCTGAGTGTCTGTAACACCCCCGCAAGCAAACTACAATGCCCCAAAGCCCTGAGATATAGACATTGCTCTTATTCTCCATGGTAATGGGTTTGTAAATAACACACACAAAAAAATAATAATATAAATCTATTGATAATAAGGGAGAAGCCAATGTGAGGGACTACCCTCTTTGTTCCACGTACCCTTTCAAGGGTACCCCAGGGATGGCAACAGCATCCAACCCCTGCAGTGTGAATTATACTTTATATTGATGCATTGTATGATTGTTTCCTACATATCTTTGTTGAAATATTTGCTGACCCAGGTTTATCACAATGGATGTATTGTGTTGTTTAATGTTTCTCTACACTTCGCAGGACCAGTACAAACAAACCTCTCTTACCCCTAAGGGCAGAGATGACCCAACCCTTCCCCACCACGTCCTAAACTACTGTGTATAACACACTGGATGGCTGTACAGTTCGGCATGGCCACCCTCAGATTAACATCCCTCAATGCTAGGGGCCTAAATCTTCCTGAAAAAAAGATCACAGGTACTTGCAGAGATCCTCCACTTAAAAGCTGACATAGCTTTTATACAGGCAACTCACTTTAGAGCAGATACCGCCCCCACATTAAGAAACAATCGCTACCTTACTGGATATTTTAGTAACTACACAAACTCCAAAGTGAGAGGAGTGGCCATATTGATAGCTGCTGGGATCCCATTCATGCATAAGGCGCATGAATCCACTGACTCATGGAGACTGCTAATGGTCAAGGGACTAGTAGGCCACCACATGATTACCCTTGTGAACTTGTACATGCTTAACAGAAGGCAGGGTAGACTGTTCAGTGAATACCTCAAACTCATAGAGACATTCACTGAAAGGATCTTACTCCTAGGTGGGGACTTTAATATTTCCCTAGACACTCACATGGATACTACATCAACAGCAACCCTATACTATTTCCAAGGGGGCAGATGCAATTGCCTATTGGCCAACGCACTCAAAGACACAAGACAATCCACATTTATTTCCAAAATTAAAACACGAACGGGGGAGACGTCCCGTAAACTACCAGATATCCTTAGAGCATTCCAAGAGTTTTATCCCGACCTTTACAATATACGATCCACGCCTCCTACTGCTTCGGAAGTGGAACAATACCTCACTCCCTGAATCAAACAAACCATCCCCCGTAACCTCACCCAACACCTAGACGCACTTCTACATATAGATGAATTCTTCTTAGCTGTGAAAGCCTCCCCCTAGGCAAAAGCCCTAGACCGGACGGCTTCATGACTAAATATTACAAAACATTCTCAAAAATGCTCGCAGTTCCCTTTACTGAAGCGTTTAACTCTCTCATCACCTCCCCACAGTTGCCAGATGCCGCCCTGGAAGCCCACATAACTCTCATTCCTAAGTCACAACCCTGTGCGGCAGTTACCGCCCTAGTTCCCTTATCAATACTGACCTTAAAATCTGCACCAAGATCTTGGCCAATCACCTGCGCACCCTCCTGCAGGGTTTGGTACACCCTGACCAGGCAGGCTTTGTGCCAGAACGCAAAGGCAAGAACAACACCACCAAATTAACTGCCAATTGTCCGACCCCCAACCGATCTCAAGTGGCACGAGACAGGGATGCCCTTTGTCGCTGCTCCTGTTCGTCCTCATCATGGAACCCTTTCTCCAGGGTATTAGGGACAACCCCAACATTCACGGTTTCACCACACAGGGCGACGAATACAAAGTAGCAGCTTTTGTTGACGACCTCCTATTCACGATTACACAACCGTTGCGGTCTATGCCACAGATCCTGGAGGAAATCTCCCTATACCACCATGTTTCGAACTTTAAAGTAAATTTTTCAAAAAGTGTTATTCTCCCACTAGTGCTACATGAACAAACTGAGAGATCCCTGAAAACCTCTTTCCCCTTTCTGTGGTCACCTATGTCAGTTCAATATCTAGGAATATACCTTCCTAAACACTCATCTAAACACTTTGAATTGAATTACATGCCCCTGTTGTAGACTATCTCTCAAGACCTAACTAAATGGCACAAGCCACACTTTGGGTGGCTATGCCGCATAAACATTATAAAGATGAACGTGCTCCCCAAAATCCTGTACCTGTTACAAACTATCCCTATAACTATACCCAAATCGTTCTTTTCGGCATTTACACGCTTCATATTGGCACTTTCAAACAACTGTAAACACTGGGTCCTTCTGGAAGAAGCTGCATTTCAACGTCCACTACACACAGTCCCGTGGCAGCACACAGGGAGAGCTTCCCTAGGAGGAGCCCAAGTCACACACCCCACGATAACACCCACTCTTAAAGTCTGGTCACAAATTAGGGTACTACTGAGCATCTCCCCCAACCCGTCCCCTTTATACCTGATCACACACAATCCGGGGTTCCCATCGGGTCTCCTCCTTTGCAGCACTCTATTCCTCTCACTGCCTCACCCTGCACTCAGTACTGAATGATTGGTGTGTCATACCCCTCCACAGTCTCCTACCTGATATCACGCCAACATCGTTTGAACAATTCAGGTACTCCCAGCTCACCCATTTTATCACTTCTACCCCTAACCTCCTCAAGGGGAATAGACAACTCACATCATTCGAAAACCACTGTGCCTTAAGAGGCATTAAAACAAAACTCCTCTCATCGATGTACAAAACACTCCAACAGGAGGCATCGTCCTCTTTGCCAAAATACGCAAGCTCGTGGGAGTCTGAGCTCAATCTCACACTCACGCGCAAGGACTGGCAATGCATTTTCGTTGATATACATAAATCCAGCATTAGCACACACACTCAAGAAGGTAACTACAAACGTATATCCAGGTGGCATTTAGCACAATCAAAAATACAAACAATGTTCCCCAATGCATCGGCAGCTTGCTGGAGATGCTCCCACCCGGCGGGGACAACGGGCCATATATGGTGAACCTTCCCAACGATTCAAGTATACTGGTCTAAAATAGCCAAAATGATTCACCTAGTGACCAGAATCAGGATGCCTATTACACCAGAAACACTAGTTTTCTTCCACCATCCGCACCATATCCCCAGACTATTATGTTAACTAATCACACACCTGCTCACCACTGCCAATGCCCTCATTCCAGTAAACTGGAAAAAAACAGGAGCCCTCACAATGAGAGAATGGATCAATAAGGTGGAGTCCGTCCACCTCTTAGAGGAGGTGCATTCTTCCCTAACACATACATATGACAAGTACGAAAAGACTTGGGGCCCCTGGACGCGCTCTCTCACACACCCCAGCCAAGCGCCAAGCCAGTGGTCAGGTGGTAAACCCACAGTACGACCCGTTTTCAATGATTAGAGGCCACATTACGTAGGCATGAATAGCATTGACCCACTATCTCCTGTCTCGGCTTTACTGCCGAATGAATAGGGTCACATTAATGTTCCTCCTTTGTACTCATTTTATTGTTAAAACTGTATGATCATATATAACCAACTGCAACATAATGTTCTTCTCATGTAATGAACACACCACAATGTTGTAACACCTGTAACTCTTGGTGGAACTTACTAACATGGAAACTCACCTGTCCGCCCTCTGCCTTACCCACAAAAGATTGGGTGTCAGTAAGGCTGTAGTAATATCCAGGTGTGTTTCCAGTTCCCAAGGACTTATGGTATCACCATCAATTATAACTACAATCTTGCGACTTGTTCGCGCAACCAACATAACCTTAGGGCAACAGTCATCCACACAAGAATGGCATGCACACATTTGGTTTGACCGATATGACCATGTCCAAAAAACACAAACACCTAAGACACCATATACCACACCCCCTTTCATGTTGAGGTAGTAGGAATCAGGAGAGGGTGACCACTACTGGAAGGCGGTCTTCTGCAGTATCAACTCAGAGGCCACATGGTGGTAGGGCTCCGATGCCCTGCTAGTTGGGATATTACACCTACTCAATAGACAATATAGTACTTGATATCGACCGACTGGTCACAGTTTAACCCAGACTTCCTACACTACCTATAGGAGCCAGGAGCTCAAATGGGTTCATCACAGACACTGTATACCTACCTACCACAGGCATGCAGTGAATCCTCGTAAATGCTAAATATGTAATGATGTTTCACCCGCTGACTGTCTGCTCACAAACACATATTATATTTGTATTCATCCACCTGGGATGTGTTTATGCTTGCGCAACTGTGACTTTTCTATTTGAATATTGTTTTTGTATCTTCATTGCTCATGCTTGTGACACTGAATGACTCTGAAACGGTTGTAACTTTGTGAATATTTTCAAATAAATATATAAAAAAAAAAAAAACAGTCAGAGTTTAATAATATCCACTATAAGTTTTTCAAATAACACTTTATAATTAATGTGATATAAATCACATTCCTGTTTCATGCCACTTCTAGCACACAATTAAGTGTATTGGTATATCTACTTAGTGATCAGTCACTTGTTTTCTGCATTTTTTTTTCCAATTTATTTTGATAGGTTATAAATATGGTTTAATTTTCTCACAGTGGAATGCATGTGAAACATAAGTGGAGGCAGCACAGTTGTCGGGACATGGAACGTGGAAGTCAAAAGTGAATGCACATGCTCCAGGAACCACTCATGAATGCATCCAGCTGAAAAGAATATAATTTGCTCAGTAGGAGAGAGGAGACCACTCACACCCCCAGGAATACCAGTGAAGAGAGAGGAATTTAAAGCAGTTGTGTGGAGGATTTATTTTTTATGTAATTTTAAATACTGGTCCCTGGGAAGTCGCATAACGGAAGGAAACACATGACCACAGCTTTGTTTTTATACTTTCAATTAAAGCCACTCTTCTACCGTCCCTGCCTCTTCAACTGGTACATTATTACATACTGCATAGAGAATTTTGAGGTGGGTTTAGCCACCAAAATGTGGAGACGGCTCCCTGGATGCTTTTAATTATCTTTATATTGTGTGTTCTATTACATCAAGTGCCTTATTGTGTCAATTCACTGTATTACACTATGCCAGGGGTAGGCAACCTACGGCACTAGTGCCATGCACAGCACTCAAGGTGTATTTGCACGGCACTCAAGGCTGCTAGAGCCAAACAGGCTCTGGCCTATCAGGAGTCCCAGTAAAACTTCAGATATCTGCTAATACAAAGAGGTGGTGAAGGACAATCCTCAATTTAAGCATTGCAGTACATAGAGGAAGTGATCGCAGATCACTTCTTCCCAGCACTTGTGAATGGGAATCCACCCTGTAGTAGAGCAGCCCGCAGCTGCTGTTGCAGCTCCTGTCCTTGACCTGTACCTGGCCAGCCTGGTCCCCACTGGAGCCCAGGGAAGCCACACACACTGCAAGATATACACAGAAATGCAGAATAACCCTCCCCTCATACAAATAATATGAACAGCCCACACACAAACATACATATAATCCGCACAAACGTAACCCGCTAACAAACCACATACATGCACACAACCCCATATGCAGCCTCTCACATGCAATACCCCAAACAGCCCCCACACACTACCAAACACACAATGTGACATATCCATCCACACACAATTCCACAAGCAGCCCCTATACACAGCCCACATTCATAAGTATCCTACACAATACCATAAACTACTCATATACAATATAATAGCTCAAATACGCACAAATACAACAATACAAAGCAATTACAGTAAAAATAACACAAGCATAATACGGCAACATACACACCTCAATTTAAAAAAATAGGACCGGCACGCTACAGGACATCACAATCCTATATCGGCACAGTGCTGCTAAAAGGTTGCCTACCCCTGCACTATGCTATGTTAATTTTGTTACAGGTTCAGCTGGTGTATGATAGAGATTTACCAGGAATACTCCTTGGGGAAGCTGTCATTTACACACCAGTTAGGTATTTTATACTGTGGTGGGAATTGGATTTACATCCTTTGTATGAACATAATAATACAATTGATGAGAAGGATACATTCAAGAAATTATGTGAAAGACATTAATTTATCATTTTGCAGAACAACTTACTAAATATCCTATTCAATCCTAATGGACAAGAAAATTGCAATAATATGAACTATTACACCCAGAAATTAATGAGAAAAGACAACTAAAACAAAAACCAGTGTACTGTATTTTATATAAGAAGTTTAGTCTCAAATAAATAGATATGCTTTGATGGTTTTAAGTCGCAAATAATAAAAAAATGTTTATTATAATTCAATGTGACATTTAAGTGGCATACAACACCAAAATTTATTAATAACCCTTTAAAACAAAAAACAAATTTTGTTACGTTTATAAAAGCAGTAATTATCGTAAGTGACATATTTGTTAGAATTTTCATTCATGCTGTGATTTCAACTGTTTAAGAAAGAGTTCATGTTTTAAATAATTTTTATAGTGCCCACAAGGTTTTTGAGTTACAAACAAAATAATACCTTTCACCATAAATTACGGTGATTTAAACAGTCCAACCTGCTTGATTGCAATGTTGTCTTTCACAATTTTAACTTATAAAGCATTATTTGAAAATTAATTTATGTTGCTAAGCTGTTCCCACTAAAAATAAGTGTAATATTTTTATACTAACATAATTAGGGATTCTCTAACTTTTTCACATAGGGAAGTTTGTAAAAACAATCAGGTACTCTTCAAGAAACAGTGGGCTCTCTCATACTAGAATTTTCTAGACATTTTCCATAGTGCTTTGCACTTAGAATTGTTGTTTAAAATAATCCCAGGATGGCTCCTAGTTCCATATTTATCCAACTCAACCAGCACTCTGCTGGCGCAGCTGTGGGTTTATAGGTACATTTGGTAGAGTTTCCTCAAAATAATACTTTTGTAGAAGCTAGTTTTTAATTTAAATTCTGTGGTACTACCCACAGAAGTTAAATTATATCTGCCCCGATGTCATGGATTTCCTTCTTGAACACATGTCCTGACAATCTAAGTCACCCATTGCACCCTTTTGATGCTATGTATTTTTGCCAACAAAACAAACCTTGCATTATTGGAGACTTCATATTGTGCCCACCCAAACTGATATTCTTAACAGTTTATTTAATAATAAGAAATGAGAAAAGATGATTCACTCAACCGAGGAAACAAAAAAGTCCTATACTATAAGTGGTGGGGAGCATGAGAAGATTTTCGTAACAACCCTTCTAAAATAAACACCTTATTAACCCCTTAAGACCGCAGCCAAATGTACAAGTTGTGATCAAAACAAAATGTAAACAAAACCTGGCATTTGCGTTATATGTCTGTCCAACCGTAATTCACCACTTTCATATTAAATGCATCCACACTTATTATATATCATTTTATTCAGGGGAAACAGTGCTTTCATTTAACATCAAATATTTAGGTATGGAACATAACTATTATGAAAAAAATATAAAACAAATGGGAGAAAATAAGATTTTTTTTAATTTTCTTAGTTCTACATGACATTTTAACTGTGAATGTCAAAATACTGTTTGCTTTTACTGCAGTAACATACACATATTTGTATTCAGCAATGTCTCACGTGTAAAACAGTACCCCCTATGTACAGGTTTTATGGCGTTTTGGGAAGTCACAGGGTCAAATATAGCGTGTTACATATTTCAGTTTTTTCACATTGAAATTCGCCAGATTGGTTACGTTGCCTTTGAGACCATATGGTAGCCCAGGAATAAGAATTACCCCCATGATGGCATACCATTTGCAAAAGTAGACAACCAAAGGTATTGCAAATGGAGTATGTCCAGTCTTTAGTAGCCACTTGGTCACAAACACTGGCCAAAGTTAGTGTTAATATTTGAAAATGCAAAAAAACTAATTTGAACACCAATTTTGGCCAGTGTTTGTGACTAAGTGGCTACTAAAAAAGACTTAACATACCCCATTTGCAATAACCTGGGTTGTCTACTATTGCAAATGGTATGCCATCATAAGGGTAATTTTCATTCCTGGGCTACCGTATGGTCTCAAAGGCAACCTGGCAAATTTTAATGTGAAAAAACTGAAAGGCAAGCCTTATATTTGACTCTGTAACTTTTGAAAACAGCATAAAACCTGTACATGACGGGTACTGTTATACTCGGGAGACTTCGCTGAACACAAATATTAGTGTTTCAAAAAAGTAAAACGTATCACAACAATTATATCGTCAGTGTAAGTGCCATTTGTGTGTGAAAAATGCAAAAAATTTCACTGTCACTGACGATATTGTCGTTGTAATACATTTTACTGTTTTGAAACACTAATATTTGTGTTCAGCAAAGTCTTTTGAGTAAAACAGTACTCCCCATGTACAGGTTTTATGGTGTCTTGGAAAGTTACAGGGTTAAATATAATGCTAGAAAATTAAATTCCCTGAACTTTCAGCCTGGGTTGTCAGGCAGGTCCTGCAAATTGTAATTAATAAAATGACCTAATTATGTAAAATTATTACATAAATATATACGTAGAATTATTATATATATATATATATGTGTATATATATATATATATATATATATTTTATTAATTTTATTTATATATAGGTATATATATAGTGATATATACGTATATACTTATGTATATAGATATATATATATTATTTTTTTCTACATGTATTTTGATAGCAATATATATATATTAATTTTAAAATACAGTTAAAATGAAATTATGCATGTATATAGATTTTTTATCTATTTATTTTTTATTATTTTTTTAATTTTATTTTTTAACGTATTTATATATTTATTTATTTTTATTATATATAAATATATATATAATGAAAATTATATATATTTTTAATCAATATCATTGTACGTGTATTTTGATATTAATATATATATATATATATATATAATTATGTATATATTAATATTAAAATACAGTTAGACAGTGTATATGTATGTGTGTATATGTGTGTATATATACTTAGATTATATATATAATAAATATATATATGATCTAAGTATATATTATTTAATTTTACACTGTTTTAACATCTTCTAATTTTTTTTTCAGGCAGCAGGGGCAGTACTTGTCATTACAGGCACTCCCCCTGCTGGCAATGCCTTGGACGGCTATGCCGTCCATGTGATCGCGGGGTCCTCGCAAGGACCTCACGATCACATGGCCCAGGGGGGCTGAAGAGGATGGAGGGGGACTCCCTGGGTTCCCAGGTAAGTCCCCATACCGCGATCACCGGCATGGGATCGCCGGCGTGGGATCGCCGGCGACCGGGTAAGTAGAAAAGATCGCAGGGCATTTTATGCCACCCTGCGGCATTTAGAGCCATCTAAATAAGGACGGCATAGAACACCCTGCGGTCTTAAGGGGTTAATTACCTGATCAGAGTATATTTCTGTATAGCTGTGGAGGTGGATTCTTGTTTTGGTTTTCTTGCAATGTTCTTTCTTTTCTTTCTTGTTTTTGAGTAATAAATAAAATAACTTTTAATTGTAAAACAAATCTGATACTTAAACAAGAGTACATGACCATTTTACAATAAAAAGATCTTAATCTCCTAAATTAATCTCTAATTTGCTTAACCCATCTACAGTGGCCAAGATTTAATCTAGTATTAAATTTACCAAATATTTATAAAATTAATTTAACAGCCAGATATTGCTATGGCCTGCACTAGGTCTCAGCGAGGGACTATTAGACTACTTTTTCCTTGGACAAAAGCATGCATCCTAACCTAAGCATTTCTTAGCTCTTACACACTTCCAGAGTTATTCACTAAAGTGTGAATTCAAAGTGAATTTCAGTTTCAAGGTAAAATTAGCTAAATTTTAAACATTATTTAACCCAGCTATACTTTAAGTTCAGCTACTTTGACCTAAAATTTGAGTCTTTTGAGTCTTAGTTTTGTGAATGACCCTGTTAGACTTACCAACTCTCATGAGATGCGATCCTCTTCTATAGTCTATGACCTGAAATTAGTCAGATTCAAACTGAACCGTAATTAATAGTATACTCTTAACATGCCATTTTCAAACAATATACTTTCTCAAAATAGGGATTCCTACCTCCCCCTGACAACATGGTCAGGGTAGGCCTAGGGATGTGGACACTTCAGCATAATTTACCCACCTTTACGTTTTTATTTTTATTTTTTTATCTCATATGTTTTATACAGATTGGATACATACAATTGACTCCAGCCTCCCCCACCAGACTCTCTGTCAACTACTATACTTAGTGCTTGGATCCGTACATTTCTCCTAATTCCATTCTCATAGCCCATAAAAATGGATCAAACATCTTCTAGACTTAGACTCATCTGACATTCAAGCTGCTTTTTTCATAGTCTATAAACATATACCTATACCCACGTATTGAGAGATGCACATGAAAATCTTTCTCTACACATAATACTCATCAAAACATCAACAACAACTTGGATTGAGAGTTTTGGTGGATTGCCCTAAGTGTGGAGGAGAGGAGTTTGGATCTCTACCATTGTTTCCATTGTGTTCTGAGAGGAGCAAGTCTTGGAGATACGTTAATTCCTACTTGAATTCTATCACATTGCTAAACATATCTTTAATCTCATGTAATAGGCATTTCCCCTTTTATTTTAAATCCCACATGAAATGTATACATATGGTCCTGGCTACTACTAGGAAATCAATATTACATAATTGGATTTAATCACTGGAACCTGAAGCCCCTACTATCAATTTAATGAAAGTTAAACTTCTCCGTGGCTTTAAAATAGATGGATTGAATCCATGTTACAAAAAGCTGACAAGGTAAAACGGTTTTTCCAGATCTGGAAAGGATATATCAATTCACTTGAGATGAACACAAGGGATATACCAAAAAAGTTGTTTGAAAAACTCATTAATTATCTTCATCGAGTGTTGGAGGGCAAACCGATCATCGCATGATCAATATTCAATTTCTATCTCACAAGAGCAATTTTGCAGAGGAGGGATGGGGGTAGGAGTTTTGGGAATGTTAAAATGTTAACACAAGGCTCTGACATCATTATTACATTTCATGAAACTTCTTACTTCCCTACACTGTAACATGAATAATTGCTCTTGAAATTGTCAAAATATTTGTTTGCAAATGTAAATTTCCTATATCAATGACAGTTTCCCTATCTTATTACAGATGAAATGTAACTTTAGTTTTTCTCACTCGGTGGGTCACAAAGCATTCGACAATGGGAGTTTCTTACCTAGAATAATACACACCAGAAATGAGTAGATTACCTTATAAGATCTTACTATAACTGGGTTACTAAAAAATGTATTATCGTTTAGTATCTTATAAACCATTTTTATCTGATATTTATCCTCTGTGAATAAGTTTTCTTAACCCCTTAGTGACCATGGACGTCTCAGGTACGTCCAAGAAAAAATGGTCCTTAAGGCCGTGGGGAATTAGAGCAATGTAAGCGATCATGATCGCTTCCAGCAGCTCTAATGGTATTGCAGCGATGCCTCGATGTGGAGGCATCATTGCAATACCCCTCTCACTGCCGGTGGAGCATTGGAAGCCATCACGCGGGTTTCCGATGCTCTCCCTGTACTGAGTGCCTTGATGTGGAGGCATCATTGCAATACCCCTCTCACTGCCGGTGGAGCATTGGAAGCCATCACGCAGGTTTCCGATGCTCTGCCTGTACTGAGTGCCTCAAGGGGTCGAGGCACTCAGTTAAAGTAAAATAAATAAATTAAAAATTAAATAAATAAAAAAAATTAACCCCTATCCTCCTTCCTCTTCCTCCTCATGTACTTACCGATCGCCTTAGGGGGTACTGTCTGGGCTCAGCTACTGCACCCCACTGCACTGTAGGACCCCTAGGGCCCATGTGACTGCTCTAAAAGAGTGCTCAAATGGCCACAATAGGTGTCCACAGTGCTGCCAGCAGGGGGACTGCCTGAACTGACAGGCAAACCCCCTGCTGATGAAAAAAGTTTACAAAAATAAAAATAAATTAAAGGTAATACATTTAAAATATATATATATATATATATATATATATATATATATACATATATATATATATATATATATATATATATATATATGATATATATGATATATGATACATATATTAATATAAAAATACACTTAGAGTAAAATTACACACGTATATATATAATGTATATAATAACTATATATATATATATATATATATATATATATATTGTGTATATATATATATATATATATATATATATATATATATATTGTGTATATATCTTATAAAAAATAAATAATTATATATACACAAAATCCTTGCACTCAGGCTCAAATGTTACAACATACCGGGTGCTTGTAGTCCTGGAGAAAGATCCAATATCCAAATAGCAAAGGTGACCAGCACTCACGGATTCATAAATTGATTAAAACATCCAAAGTTTAATGAAAAAAATAAAAAAGATAGTTGACAGCTCAACGTTTCAGTCCTCCTCTGGGACTTTCATCAGGAACAACCCTGATATATATATATATAATTTTATTCTAACTGTATTTCATATAGTCCCCGGGGCTGCTAAAAAGTAAAAAAAAAAATAAAAAAAAAAATATATATATACATATATATATATATATATATATATATATATATATATATTTATATATTATACATATATATGTATAATATATTATAAAATAATTAAAGCATTTTATATTATATTGTACATATATAATGCATAGTATATGATTTCATTATAAGTGCACTTTGAGATATATACATTTATATATATATATATATATATATATATGCATAAAAATACACTTATAATGAAAGCCTATATATGCATTATATATATATATATGTATATATATATATATGTATATAATATATTATAAAATGCTTTAATTATAATATATTATAAATATATAGGAATTAAAGGTGTGTGTATGTGTGTATATATACAAAAAAATGACTACCCAAAAGTTTGACAAAGACTGGTGATAGAATTGGTGCATGGAAAGTGTTAAAATACCACAATTTGAAATTCCCTAGTGTGTCTACTTTTCAAAAATATCTGGTGTGATGGGGGCAAATTACATTGGCCGGCTTCAAAAATGTCCCAAATAGGACATGGGTGCATGATGACCAGTTGTGAAAATTCCAAGTTGGAAAACTGGAATGCACACCCTCCAAATAAGGTCTTTTAGCCTCCAAAAAACCCAACACACCTATATATGGGTGGTATCACTGTAATCAGGAGCTGTTGTTGAACACATATTGAGTGTTCTTTGTCAGTAACACATAACAGGAACTGAGAATCCATACCTAAATAAAATGTGAGAGAAAAATAACACAAAAAAATAACTACCCAAAGTTTGGCAAAGACTGGTGATAGAATTGGTGCACCCTAGGGTGTCTTCTTTTCAAAAATATATGATTTGATGGGGTAAATTACGTTGGCCAGCTTCAAAAAGGTCCCAAATAGGACCTGGGTGCATGATGACCATCTGAGAAAATTCCAAATTCTAAATAAGGTATTTTAACCCTTAAAGTTCTCCGTACATGTATTCTTAATTTAGTTTTTTACATTTTTTCATCATATTTTATAATTTTGTTTATAGTAAATTATATGATATTATGAAAATAATGGTATCTTTAGAACTACCATTTAATGGCAAGAAAAACGGTATATAATATTTGTGGGTACAGTAAATGAGTAATAGGAAAATTACAGCTAAACACAAACACCGCAGAAATGTAAAAATAGCCCTGGTCCTTAACAGTAAGAAAATTGAAAAAGGGTCTGGTCACTAAGGGGGTAAACATCCATCCCTCCTGACAACAATATCTTCCTTTCCTCCCACTTGGTTGGTTATCACTTTTCTGTAACCAGTCAATGATATTCACCCTTCTGTCTCATCTCTAATATGTTCTCTTCACTGTATTCCATTTTTCACATATCTAGTTCTTAAAACAACTTCCTTTTATACTCTTTCTTTCCATTCCCCTGCAGGATTCACCTTCCTTATATTTCACTACACACTGACATATTCTGCTCCAAACCCCCACAATGTCACTCCATACCTCCTGAGGATAACCCAGATATCATAAAATGTTATTGCAAGCTTGTTTGTATTTCATAGATTAGAATTCTAGTTTTTATTGATATCCATAGAAAAGAAGAGATTCAAGAATTTAATATTTTGACATCTTTGGAGGATATTATAATAGGTTGCATCTGCAAAGGATGCAATAGTTTGGGGATGATCATACTTTTAACTAGGCAGGCTCTTCCCATTAGAGAAACTGATAGGTATATCAATTTATTTAGTTGGTATACTATATTTATAATAGTTTTTGAGATGTTACAGGTATAAAGAAGGTTGATGTTTTCAGGACCGCATGAAATATGATTCTATTGCCATTGTATGGGGATCATAGTTTGGAGAATTGTATTGTTGTAGATGCTTAATGGCTGATGAAACATATGACTTAATTATGGGATTATACTTTACAGTATGTTTAGGATAGGGTTCATGGTTTACATTTGGTTAAGCAATGTAGAGTAAAATATTGTCTGTAAGTGCTGTTAGCTGTATGGTTGAGATACCAATCGGGATGCCCTGAAAGGAGAGTAAAGCATGAAGCAAGTGTATGATGGTCTTAGGATAAATTAAAGAGGAGAGAAGAAAGACCTCCACTGTACATTGTCACCTCCATTGCGTCCAAGCTGTTTGTGGAGACTTTATATCTTGGAGAGGTGTGTAAGTTCAGAATATGTTTCAAGAAAAGTATGCCAAAAAATCAATAATTTAGGACTTGGAGGAGGTATGGCCAGGCAACCAAATCAAAAGCTTTGTGTGCTTCAAGACCGAGTAGAAGGGGAAGTAATAGGAAAATGCTGGGTTAATGTTATTGCTGCTTTAGCCATTTTGATCTCCTGCATGAATTGCCTTGTTCAGAAAAATCTAAACTGAAGGGAGTGAAGAATATGAGGTAAAACCTGCTGTAATTGATTCTCAATAAATTTTGTTAGCATTTTTTTATATTTTGACTTAATAGAGTTATCAGTCTGTAAAATTCCAGTTCATCCAAATCTTTGATAGGTTTCAGGATCAGAATGGTTCTAGACTCTGTATTAGGTTTCAGGATCAGAATGGTTTTAGTATCTGTCTTTCCATCGAGGTGGCAGCTATTTATTTATATTTTCATAAGATTTAATTATATATATATTTGAAGCTAAAGTGATCCTTGCCTGGGGACTTTCTTATAGGTAGGTATGTAATACTTGCTTTAATTAATATGAGGTAATTGAACAATGTAAAATTTTACACAAGGTGTTCCTATATTTTTGTAGTTCAGCCTTGTGCACAGGCTTCATGCCATGGGTATCATCATTGGGTCAACATTGCATAGCTTTTTTTTTAATTCTTTGTTATTGCAGTGCAGTGCAGTGCTAGGAATACATGCTGAGCAAGATATGACGAAATTTGACATAACAATAAAGAGTAGCAGGCTATATGTAAAATGACTCCATCCAAAAGTATGTTAGTAATGCAGCTATGTTGTCTTATGTTAATTATTAAGGTTCTTTGTTATCTATTTTTTTTTATTGCTTTCCTTTTTATTCTATAATGTAAAACTTTGACGGATTGCAACCATGCAACACACCATTATACAACATAATACATGCCTTGACGCTATGATTATTCCTTTCTGTAACAAAATATTGATTTCTGAAACGTGATTTAGCTTTTGCACAAGCCTTTATGCAGTGGATATGCCACAATTTCTGTCATTGCAAAAATTAAAGAATTTAAATAATAATAATAAAAAAAACATCTCTCATTATGGTGGGGAGACCAATCTGAAGCATGGTACACCTGAGAGACCTGGGTCACATGACACTTTGGGCACCAAACACAGTCCTCATTATTACACAAATATGTCCAATATAGGCCCCTACGCTCTGCCGGAGACCTACCTCTGTTCGTACTTCTACCTCTGATGCTCACCTTAAAGACTTCTCTAGGGCTGCACCGCTCCTATGGAACTACTTTACTAACCTACCCTTACCTTTTGTGTCACATTACACTACTCCCTGTAGCATGTAGGCTCATTGAGCAGGGTCCTCAATTCATCTGTTCCTGTGTGTCCAACTCGTCTGGTTACAAATACTTGTCTGTTAGTCCACCCATTGTACAGCGCTATGGAACTTGTTTGCGCTGTATAAATAATAATAATATTAGATACGTTATATACATTAGATACGTCACATTTTATTTTTCCATTCAAAAGCTATTTACAATTATCTTTTACTTGATATTTAGCGAATAATCCCCTTTATTTCTTTTTTATGTATACAGTCACGGTATCAATGCACTTAGGATGCCTATATCTACACTTTAATATTAATAGATAATTAAAAATGCTAAAAACGTGCTCTGTGTAAAAAGGAGCTTTAAGTGTTTTTTACAGGAAACATCTGTATCCCAGCTGCTACTACTCCTTTAAAAACATTAAAAACTCACTTCTTTGCAAAAGTGTATCAATTAAACTGTTAATAGCTCCCAAATATCCTCTCCTGCAACTGTCATTACTTCTCTAAAAATATCCTTACCTTTTGTGTCACTATACCCCACTCCCTCTAGCATGTAAGCTCATTGTTCCTGTGCATCCAACTGTAAAGCGCTGCGGAATTTGTTGATGCTATATAAACAATAATAATACTATGTTGTGGGTATCTCTCCTGTCCACCAAAAATGTGTGCAAGATGCAAGGTAGGGATTGGGCGTAGAAGCAGAGGCGTAACTAGAAACCACTGGGCCCCGGTGCGAAAACAGCCCATACGTCTACCACCCGCCACCTCCCATTTGTCTTCCCTCCCCCTCCCATACATGGCTCCACCCACACACTCCCGGTTCTCGGACTTCCAGCATTGAGCCTGTGTACGAAATAAGGCAGAGGTCCATCAGGTTAGTGCAAAACCTGCATACTGTAACCTGCACTATAGGGCTTACTACTGTGCTTCTGGGGTGAAGCCCTTTACCTTTTGTGCTGCTAGTGGAGGTCTGCTTTGTGCTCTGAGTATCTGGGTGAGGCCCAGTAAAAAAAAACAATTCATTACTATACCCTGCTGGGGTAGATTGGTACAGCTGATACCACGTGCATGACCCTGCTGGGTTATATTAGTACTGCTGGTACTTTATTGTGATTATAAGAGCTACAGTTCTGACCTCTTGCCCACCACATACCCTATGCCACTCTATACAACTATTGGTCCTTGCTCCAATTCATATACAATGGAAGCCTCTCAGAACACTGCAGACGTCCAGACCATGATTAATGAGGCCGTAGCCGCCTCCATGGAGAAGGCACTCTCCAAAGTGATGACGGCGAATACCAAGCAGAGGAAATCCTCTAAAGCCCACCACTCCAACTTTGATTCGGACTCTGAGGCTTCAGAACCATGCACGAAGAAGGACACCCACCCTGGCAAATGCCACTGGAAGGGTGAAAAATGGCAAGACAACCCAGGCTAGGGCAAGACACCCACCAAACAACACAGGGCACTTCCACTCATCACCCATACCCCCCACCGTGACTACTCCTCGGAGGAAGAGGGTGACTGAAATTGCTCCATTGCCATTTTAGATGAATGGCAAGCAGTGGAATTGGACTCACAGGATGGTGCATGGGGCTCAGATTCTGGATCACATTCCGGTTTTCTGCAAGGACCCTTTATGGGTGATCCCCACAAGAAGATGGGGAAATGGGGAAGCCATCCTGGATCCAACGGGTCAAAGACTATTCGACCCTAGAAACATTAGACACCCACGCTCAGGGGACTGGACAACCCCAGAGTATTTATCAAAATTCATGCATCTATGGCTCCGTAAGCCATTAGATAAGACAGTACATAACAAACTACGGTCAGAGTGTCCTCGCCCTTGCCTACCCGATCACGTGGCCCAGACACTGGCGTTCGACCAGGTCATGACCACAGTCATGTCCCGGGGTGGTCGCGACCCCCGTAAAGGAGTGGAAAAAGGATTTAGAGGGGTTCAAGACAAATTGTTGGACTCCATCAGCCCTCTATCTTGAATTATATATCTAGCGGATGATACTTTCACAAAAGCCGACCAATTCGATGCCAGCATGGTTCGTGAATGGGTACACGACATACGGGAATGGGTACAAAGATGCTTTTGCTTTGTAGGGAACACTAATGTTACCCTCTCCTCCGAGATGCGCAAAGCAGCACTACTCTGCATAGACGGAAAGTTAGTCGAATTGGGCACCACGGAGCTAGGACCACTGGCACAGGGCAAACTGTTTGGAGATGCATTCCTAAAAGATTTGAACAGGCACGTGAATGTCTTCACATCCTTAAATAAGGCACAGACCTCAATGCGATAGGTCTTTAGGAGCAACTCCACCAGGGGTGTTTTTGGACCTTGAGGTGGACTACAGACAACCATTCTCCTACTCCAGAGGAGCGGACAGAGGTCATGGACCACATGGTTGTGGCAGAGATCGCTACCCAATAGGTAAGCAACCACTTAACACAGTCTATCTCTCCCCATCATACTGTTGGCCGTATTGCTCTGTTCTTTCAGACCTGGATGACCCTCTCCACGGATGCATGGATACTACAAACTGTGCGCGGTTACGTCATCAACTTTGTGGACCATCCGCTTCAAATGGACCCACACCGACCTATCAACTGCTCAGCAAACGACGCCAGACTCATTGACGTTGAACTACAGGAACTATGCTCGAAGGGCACGAACGAACCTGCTTCCGAACCCGGGGGTTTCTTCAGCAATATGTTGCTAGTAAAATAGAAAACCGGAGAATTCCGTCTCGTTATCAACTTAAGACGACACAACGTGTACAGGATGTACCGCCACTTCAAGATGGAGGGCATCTCTTAAGGGACCTCCTTTAAGACGGAGACTGGTTCACAAGATTGGATCTAAAAGATGCATACCTATCGGTGTCTGTCCACCAATCCTGCCGACAGTTTGTCCGCTTCAGGTGGCAAGACACCCCCTGGCAGTTCACATGCCTCCCCTTCGGCCACAGCTCGGCCCCATGGTGCTTCACCAAACGCCTGAATCCAATGGTTACAAATCTTTGAGCAAGAGGAATTTGATGCATTATCTACCTGGACGACCTCCTGTTATTCTGCTCTGACAGCTCCAGACTGACACTACACACTTGATATACTGCAGAGTTTCTGGTCTCACTGGGTTTCGTAGTGAACTACCAAAAGTCAGCAATATCTCCGGCCCAGATAGTGCAATTCTTAGGATTCAAGATCAATTCCAATTCCAGCATGCTACGACTACCAGCATCAAAGCTCTCGGCCATTCACAAGGAACTGCGCAGAGTCATACGATGCCACGCCATTCCACTCCGCAATCTTGCCCGGATAGTAGGCCTCCTATCCACGTCCATAGAGGCACTCTTCCTGGGGTCACTCCACTACAGGGTGATGCAACGCCTGAAGACCTCCTTCCTTTGCCGAACCCCACCTGCGACTAACAGGTCCCAGTAACAGAGGAATTCAAAGAGGAACTCAGATGGTGGCTGGACAGCATGGAGGTGTGGAATGGACGGGCCATCTTCTGGAGCGCACCCGACTTCATACTAGAGTCAGACATCAGCCTTTGGGGATGTGGGGCGATGAGCGACAGCATATCGACAGGAGGCATCTGGACTTCACAGGAACTCAATATGCACATAAACTGCATGGAGCTCTTAGCGGAATCTTTTGCCATTTGCAGCCTGGCGAGGGACAAATCAGACTGCTGCATCCTCCTCAGAATGGACAATGTCTTGGCAGTCTGCTACATCAACCGCCTGGGCGGAGCCCGATCCCGGCTCCTGTCAGAAATAATGAAGGAGATCTTCGACATCTGCCTACCCTGCAACATCTCTCTCAAAGCCAGGAGATACGAACCTCATGGCAGACTGGTTCTCCCAGCACCCAAATATTCAACAGCCTCTCAGAATGGAGGGGCCCCTTTCTCCTGGACCTTTTTGCATCACGCAACAACAGGCAGATGCAGGACATCTTCAGCTGGCTCCCAGACCTAGAGAGCAGAGCGGTGGATGCCTTCCTACAACGTGGCCGACCACAGGAGCTTATGTGTTTCCCCTCTTCGCTATGATAGTGAGAACGATCCAATACTTGAGGAACCAACAGATATCTCTACTTCTTATGACTCCCCTATGGCGGGGTCAAATGTGGTTCCTGGACCTCCTGGCATTGTCCTACACGGATCCTCTCCTACTGTCGCCCTATCTGACACTCCTCACGGATCCAAAAGGGAACCCTCATCCCTTAGTCCTGGACGATCGTCTAGACCTGGTAGCTTGGACTCTTTTCAGGGTGCCTGGCAGATCAGCAAACATTCGCAGACTGCTAAGGACCTCCTATGGGATTTCTGGGCCCTGGGAACCAGTCGTTGTTGCCTCTCAGCATGGACTTCCTGGTCCACTTGGTGTGTGGAACGGAACCTCGATCCATTTACTGCCCCTATGCCATCTGTTCTGAATTTTCTATCTTCCCTGCAACAGGTCGTTTCTATTGGTCGATTAACGTTGTACGTTCTGCGATTTCAGCGGCTCATGTCCCAGTTCTGGGGATCCCTGTTGGGAAAGATCCTCTAGTATGTCGGTTCCTGAGGGGCAAGGGACCCCGGGACCCAAATACTTACGTTTATGGGTCGTTGAAGTCGTCCTTCGATTATTGAGAGACTGGCCTCCCAACGACAGGCTCTCTCTTCGACAACTTTCGGGCAAATTCATGGTCCTTCTTTGCCTCATCTCTTTCCACCGGGTGTCAGACATTCAGGCTTTCAACTTAGATGCCTTTTCCGTCTACCCGGAAGGGGTCACCTTCCGGATCTCCCATCGTACTAAATAGGATTCGACATCTACTGAATTTGCTTTCCTAGAATTCTAGTTTATTATAGGTAATACAGTTTTTTTATACTCCACATGAGTACATCTTTTACAATTAATTGACGGATTACTGCCATTGCTTCCTCAAGTTTGGAGAACGGTACCTAACCTATTTCATGTTCTCTTTTCAGTTTAAATTCATGGGATTCTGGTTTGTTTTTCAGACTTGACCCGGTTGGATTATCGTCTATTTCATGATGGCTACCGGATAGTTGGATTGTTGCCCATTGGTGATTGTTACCTGGTGTTTGTGGTTTTGAACTTTATCCATCTGTGATGTCGCTTCCGAAAGAGGAGGAGGAGCCTATTCACTGTGGATATTATACTCACTATTGCATTTTGATTGACTCTTGTTTTCACTTTTCTTTGCTGCTGTGGAGTTAGTAAAGAGATTTTAATGCAAAATACTTGCCTCCTCTGATTATTAAAATTAAGATAATAAGTACACTAAAGCTAGCATAATCTTCAATTTGTAGTGTAGATTTAGAAATGCCAGTGAAACTGAAACTGGCAATACCAAGAGACACAAAGTATCAAAAGAATAACTATAACCACCAACTCAGAACTATAGTTTACTACACTATTGTATCAGTTTCCCTTGAAGGGAACTATCAGTGTAACTGTGCTTAGGTTATAAACATTATAAAAACAAGGAAGCCTGAAAAACTCTTATCAGATACAAGAATCGAATTGTTCAATGCATGACTGTTTTCCCAAATAGAGCTGTTAACCAATCGTTCTGTGAATTGCTAAGCTGTGCCTTCAAGTGCATCTATTCTGTATAAGAAACTGTCTGCTAGTCTAAGGTAAGCACTGATTTGGGAAAAAATAGAGTCATACGTATACGTATTTCTGAAGGCCTTGATGGTAAGGTATGTCTTTTTGCTGATGATACTAAGATATATAACAGGGTTGATGTTCCAGGAGGGATAAGCCAAATGGCAAATGATTTAGGTAAACTAGAAAAATGGTCAGAGTTGCGGCAACTGGCATTTAATGTGGATAAGTGCAAGATAATGCATCTTGGACATAAAAACCTAAGGGCAGATTGTAGAATATTTGATAGAGTCCTAACCGCAACATCTGAGGAAAGGGATTTAGGGGTGATTATTTCTGATGACTTAAAGGTAGGGAGACAATGTAATAGAGCAGCAAGAAATGCTAGCAGAATGCTTGGTTGTATAGGGAGAGGTATTAGCAGTAGCAAGAGGGAATTACTCATGCCATTGTACAGAACACTGGTGAGACCTCACTTGGAGTATTGTACGCAGTACTGGAGACCATATCTCCAGAAGGATATTGATACTGTAGAGAGAGTTCAGAGAAGGGCTACTAAACTGGTTCATGGATTGCAGGATAAAACTTACAAGGAAAGGTTAAAGGATCTTAACATGTATAGCTTGGAGGAAAAACAAGACAGGGGGGATATAATAGAAACATTTAAATACATAAAGGGAATCAACACAGTAAAGGATGAGACTATATTTAAAAGAAGAAAAACTACCACAACAAGGTCTTAAATTAGAATGGCAAAGTTTTAAAAATAATATCCAGAAGTATAACTTTACTGAGAGGGTAGTGGATACATGGAATAGCCTTCCAGCTGAAGTGGTAGAGGTTAACACAGTAAAGGAGTTTAAGCATGCGTGAGATATGCATAAGGCTATCCTAACTATAAGATAAGGCCCGGGACTAATGAAAGTATTTTAACAAATTGGGCAGACTAGATGGGCCGAATGGTTCTTATCTGCCGTCACATTCTATGTTTCTATGTTTCTAGGTAAGCAATGTCTACTGCACCACCCTGATCTATTATTTTAGTTACCCAATCAAAAAAATCAATAAGATTAGTTTGGCATGATCTCCCTGAAGTAAACTCATGTTGTCTCTGATCTTGAAATACATGTGATTTTAGATGTTCTACAATCCTATCCTTTAACATGGTTTCAATTACTTTCCCCGCTTCTGAAGTAAGGCTTACTGGCCTATAGTTGCCCGACTCCTCCCTACTACCTTGTGAATGGGCACAACATTCGCTAACTTCCAATCTTCTGGGACTACTCCTGATAACAACGACTGGCTAAATAAGTCTGTTAATGGGTGTTAAGCTCTTTTAATAACTTTGGGTGTATTCCATTAGGTCCCATTGACTTATTTGTCTTTACTTTTGACAGTTAAAATAGAACCTCTTCCTCTGTAAACTCACATGTAACAAATGACTCACTTGTCCTTTTTCCTAACTGAGTCCCCTCTCTTTCATTTTCATCTGTAAATACTGAACAAAAATATTCATTGAGGCAGTCAGCTAGACCTTTATCCTCTTCTATATACCTTCCTTCTTTTGTTTTTAATCTAACTAATCCTTGTTTTACTTTCCTTTTCCCATTTATATATCTAAAAAAATGTGTTGTCCCCCTTTTTTTACTGACTGAGCTATTTTCTCTTCTGTGTGTGATTTGGAAGCTCTTATAACTTGCTTAGCCTCTTTCTGCCTAATCTTATAGATCATTCTGTATTCCTCACTCTGGGTTCTTATAATTACTAAATGCTAACTTTTTGTTTTTTACTATTTTATCCACATCTGCAGAGTACCACAGTGGTTTCTTGTATTTTTTGCTTTTCCTGACAAGCATAATTCAATTTTGGGTTGCCTTCAGCAGTGCAACTTTTAAATAATCCAATTTCTCTTGGACTCCATTTAAATTGCTCCAGTCTGATAATCACTCCTTTACACATTTTCTAATTTTAGAAAAGTCTGTTTTTTTAAAGTCTAAAACTTTTGTTTTTGTGTGGTGTGACTCAGTCACTGTTCTTATATTAAACCACACTGACTGATGATCACTGGATCCTAAACTTTCACCTACAGTAATATCTGATACCAAATCTCCATTTGTTAACACTAAATCTAGTATGGCCTCTTCACGGGTTGGCTCCTCAATGACTTGTTTTAGAAACAATCCCAGTAGGGAGTTTAGAATATGTGTGCTCCTGGCACAAGCAGCTAGTTTGGTTTTCCAATTCACATCAGGAAGATTAAAGTTACCCATTTTAGCTATTTTCTCAACTAGTAGATCATCTGACTCTTCTAATTGTCCTGGGGTCTAAAAATCACACCGACATGAGTTACTGTGTGATTACTAAATTCTAACATAACCCAAACAAACTCTATGTTCGCCTCACTAACTTTTATTAGGCTAGATTTTATGCTATCCTTCACATACAGGGCCACCCTTCCCCCTTTCTTGCCTTCCCTGTCTTTTCTATATAAAGAGTACCCTGGTATTGCTATGTCCCAGTCATTTTGCTCATTATACCATATCTCAGTAACAGCGACAAATCTACATTATCTTTTGCCATTATTGCCACAGGTTCATGAATCTTATTCCCAAAACTGCAGGCATTTATAGACATGACTCTTATAATTTTTTAACACACTTGCTACGGGCACCTACTGTCCTTGTTTTGGGGGGCGATTGGATTGATGTTTTATCACCCTTTTGCCCCCCCCTCCTAGTTTAAATACATCCTAGCAAAACCTCTGAACTGCTCAATGAGAACATTTGTTCCCTTTTGAGAAAGATGCAAACCATCTTTTTTGTACAGTTTATTTCCATTCCAAACAGAGCTACCATGAGAAATAAAGCCAAATCCTTGCTCCCAACACCATTCACTAAGCCACAAGTTAAAGTCCCTAATACGCATCCGCCTGTCATTCTGAGTGTTAAGCACAGGCAGAACTTCAGAGAATGACAGTGTGGAAGCAACCTGCCGTATATCATTGGCAAAAATACTGAAAACTTCCTTTACATCATTGCAAGCCAAGTAATTTGTCCCTAGATGTACAAGTACATCCAATTCCCCTTCCTGCCAGTGGCTGCTCACAGTTTAGGCAAAATGTAATTTATTACAATAACAGGTTATGGTAAAACAGAACTAACTAAACTGAAAATAAAATCCAAACTGCAATAACATACCACTGCTATATACACATCAACCATAGTAAAAGAAATACAATTATTTTGCTCCACCAAAGTGTTATCCCAAAAAAAAGATGCTTTTGGTTTAAGAAAAACACTAAATAATAATAATTTGATTAAACAAAAATTAACTAAACATACAGTTGTGCTAAAAAATGTGCGTACTCTGACAAAAATTGTGACATTTTGGCATTGATTTTGAAAGTATGACTGATCATGCAATCATTTTTTTTTTATTGAAGGTTAGTGATCATATGAAGCTATTTATTATCACATATTTGTTTGGCTCCTTTTAAAATCATAATGATAACAGAAATCACCTAAGTCAAAAGTTTACATACCCTTGAATGTTTGGCCTTGTTACAGATACACACAGTGACACACACAAGT